GATTTATGAATACTCACTTTGCTAACGCTTCCATGCCATTTAATCTTGTCAGTCTCAATGATGATTTTTTTCCCTTGAGAATCCTTGGTCCCCATCCTTCCAACCTTCACTTTATGAAAAGAGTTATTAGAGAAAATAAGCATGTTTACTATATCAAATCCATATCCCATCTCCTTATTCTCATTAAAGGAGACCATTTCTCCATCTGTGTTGTTAAATGAAAGGGTCTGAAGGAAGCGGTGAAGCTAAGAAGAACAAAGCAAGAAACGGATAAGAGAACGGATCTTTTCATAACTCAAACTAAGAGTGAATACATACAAATATTACCCCCGCCATTTGTCATTCTTATTCTTGCTCTTTTAGAGCTGTAGCTTTTCTTTTTTCTTTTTATATAAATATTTTAACTCTTCATGGTAGGCCAGATATGGAAATAATTACAATTATACTTTATTGGGATACAATAACAACTTTATCAAGGCTACGAAAGCAACATTTTAGAAGAATGCCTGTGTCTTTCTTTTCCTCCCTTTTGTACCTGAGCCAGTTGGGGTGTGTGTCTTTGTAATACTTTCCCACCCCTCTGGATTTAACACAATTTTTTTTTTTTACTACCAAAATGTTTTTCTAAAAGCCTTTTGATACTTTTTTCATCTTGCTGGCCTTCTACAAAATATCATTAAAAAAAATTTACTGAACCAGGGCAATAATAGGATAAGAAAATCAACTCTAATAACATATGGAACTGAATCAAACTTTTAAGAACTACCGGTATGTATGTAGAAATCTCTGTCTGAATGCCTGAGTCTATACATTCTGCTTTTCCATTTTTTAAAATAACTTCTTTTAACCTGATTCATTACCAAATATGAAGGCTTTTGAAAATTCTTCTTTAAAAAGGATAGTTGTGAAAATGAATGAAAAGATTTTACTCATCTTCAGAATTGGAACTGCTACAGTCGTATCAGAAGTGCTTTAGATCTTCCAGGTTGAAAAGATTGAATGATGACATCACCATTGACCAGGGGATGCCCATTTGGTGGGTTCCTTTCATGTCCCCATTAAGTTGCCAGCTGGAGTTTATCTACGGACAGTTGTCCACTTTAAAATGCTAACTTGGCAGGAACTGGAGAGTGTGACAGGAACTCACCCCATCCTGGGGCAGCAACTGGGTCTTGAACACAAGTTTGCTGATTGTCAGCCCAGCATCCTAACTCATAAGTCACTGCGATCCCTAGAACTTGAAAATGTAAGAGGACTCCTCTCCCCCAATGGAAAATATTTTAAATAATCCACAAATAACATATATCCCTGCGAGTTATTAGTGAAAAAGGAAGTTTTATGTATTTTAGTATCATATAAATTGTTTTTTTTCAATTCTATGTAGAGTTTCTTTTAATTTTCTTTTCTTTTCTTTCATTCTGGAGACATTACCTGCCAAGGGTTTATCTCTTCAAGATGTCTTGTAATCCTGATTGCTTTATGTTTTGATCTAGATAAATCCAGGCCATTTAATGCATGGGACACAGCAAAGACTGCAGTGTAGATGCTGTAGCTATGTCCAGTCATGACCATCTCAAACAGAATCCCTGGAAGATCCCTCAAGGATTCTGTCCCACTACAAAATTTGTGAGCCTCTATTAGATTCGTAGGATCAGGAACAGAGCAACCAAAGGCTTGTTCCCAGAACTCCTTGAAAAAGTCATCAGGTTGTGCCTTGGTTGGTTTTATATTCTGAAGGTAGATCTGAAACTCTTCATGTTCATTGGAGTGGATCGCAAAAAGAAAGGCACCTTGGAATATTTCGTATTTCCAGTGCTTTGAAAAGACTGTTGAAGCAAAGTCAATCTGGCCTGTCATAATCCACACCTTTTCAGTATAGTTAACACCCGCGAAAAATAACGCAGTGCTTAGCCACATTACAGTTAGAGTTTCACCATAGACAACAAGGGTGTTAACTTTTGGATCTGAGTAGAACTCATTAGTATTGGCAGAAATAGTTTTCAGTTCGTCAATTTCGGGGAACCGGCTATCAACTGGCATTCTTTGAACAAAGGCTAGACATATCTTATTCTGGAGAAATAATGACTCCAGTTTTTTCAAGAAACGCTCTCCACTTTCATCATCTCCAGCCAAAAGTCCAACCCAGATCCACCCAAAATGTTTAAGTAAATAGATAATGCCTGTATACTGATGATCTTCATTGGAGACTGTGTAGTAAAAGGAAGATGTCTCTACCATATTACTTCTTTGCATAGGAAACGATCCATATGTGAGCTGAAAGGACATGCTCAGAGATATTCAGATACATATTATTTATTTATATATTCATCACATTTCTACACTAACCATCTCATCTAAGTGATTCTAGGCAGCTTATAATAATAATAAAAACGATACCATAGTATAAGAGCATAAATCAGAATAAAGTTAAAAACAAAATTTAAAAGATAGGGTTACGGTATTAAAAGTTAAAAAAAATAAAAAGATAACAAAAGAGATATCAATAATATCAATTCCCCCCAAAGTTGCATATCATTCTTACATACACACACACACACACACACACACACACACACACACACACCAATTGGTAGAGCCAGATCTTAACACTCTTTCTGAAGCCAGAGATAAGATACAGAGACACCTCACCTCTGAAGATAAGATCTGGTGGGGGCAACAACAAAGAACTGTCTCTCCTTGGATCCCACCAATGATGCAAGATACACAACATGCCCTCCCTGTCTGGCCAGGTGGGATGAGACAATATAATTGGTATGAAACAGTTCTTTAGGTAACCTGGCCTCATGCCATGAAAGTCTTTAAAGGTGAGAGTTAACACCTTGAATTCAACTAGGAAACAAACCAGCACCCAAGGCTACGCATGTAGCAGAGGTGTTATATGCCATTTATCTATCTCTATCTCTATCTCTATCTCTATCTCTATCTCTATCTCTATCTCTATCTCTATCTCTATCTCTATCTCTATCTCCTTCTCTCTTTCATAAGAGGTTTTCTCAATGCATTTATGAACATTATTTTTTAAGACCAGGAATTATCAGTGAATGGAGAAAAATAGTTGGTTTTGTTATCCATTAAGCTTATTAATCACTAAGTTCCCTTGAAGGTTTAATAGCAAAACAATAAACATCCACCTTAGCAATTCAAATTTTATTTAGAAAGATTTGTTTGCAAATCAGGCTGCTTTAAAATCTAAGAAAGAAGTCTTAAATCAGCAGAAAATAATTTCAAAGATCAATAGGACAATCAATCAATCAGTCAAAGCAATATAATACCTATATGGCTTTTCATGGCCAGACTTCGTCCTGATGGGCTATGAACATGTACTAGCTGATCTCAAGGAACGGGCCATTCATTTATAGCAGCTTTACCAGATCTACTGAGAAACATCTTTCTGAGTCATTCTACACACTTTTCCAACCAGCCAGATATCTTAGCTGCATACAAATTCAAATATTTAGAATGGTTTTATCTGTCTATGGAGATTCTCAGTCATCCAGGTCATGGTTGTCCCAAAGATGCTTTTTTCATGAGGCAACTAGACTTTCTTGGGGTTTTTTTGAAGATATTTTACTTCTCATCAAAGAAGCTTCTTCAGCTCTGACCATCCCCACCATCCAGTCAGAGCTGAAGAAGTTTCTTGGATGAGAAGTGAAACATCTTCAAAGGAAAACAAGAAACTCCAGTTGCATTGTGAAAAAAAGTACCTTTGGGACAAGGGTTTTATCTATTGATTCAATGGCCTCCCAACAGCTTTTACTGAAGTATACACCAAAATATTCCCTTCAAATGAAGACTGTGTCCATGCAGTGGAAGAATAATTGAAACTGGAACATATTATCTTGTATTGTCCCTTCTGTGCAAATGATCACCAGGAATTATTATCTCCATCTTTCGTTAAACATCCTGGTAATTCTGATTTGTCTAATCTTACATTGTCATTATCAGATCAATCTGATTTTACTTTCTTGACTACAGAGACATAGTGTTCTATAGTTTATACAGAGTACTATTGGTTCTTTTCTAATTCTTGTTAAATATATTATAACTTTTTTTTTCTTTTTACCCTAATTAATTATGATTTTCTTGTTTTTATTTGCTGGTCTATGACCAAATAAAATTGATTAATTATTTGATTGATCCATTCAACTTAGTACTATGTGTACTGAAATGGCACTCTGAGATTCCAAGCAGGAAACACTAAATATTAAGCTATAATTCATTCCATCAGGTGGGACCATGATTAGAATTCTGATGAGGGTGGAATCTGGGAGAGTCCAAATCATGGACTCTTGTGCCAAAACCTTGGAAATAATGATACAGTTATTGAAAACAGCCATTAGAGAAACATTGGTAGCATTGATAACATTGATATCAATCTTCCAATATCTAAGGGGCTGCCACAATGAAGAGGGGGTCAACCTAGTCTCCAAAGCATCTGAAGACAGGACAAGAAGCAATGGATGGAATCAAGGAGAGAACCAACTTAGAACTAAGGAGAAATTTCCTGACAGTGAGAACAATTACTGTAATCAGTGGAACAACTTGCCTCCAGAAGTTGTGGGTGCTCCAACATTGGAGGTTTTTAAGAAGAGATTGGAAAACCATTTGTCTGAAATGGTATAAGGTTGGACTAGAAGACCTCCAACTCTTTTATTCTGTTAATATGTATGCTTACTGCTTTGCTATTAAACCTTTAAGGAAGCTTAAGCTTAACAAATATCAAAAATAACCATTTTCCTTCATTCAATAATAATTCCTGGCCTTAAAAATAACATGTATAAATGTTTT